AAATCTGATGTCAAATCCCCAATCAAAACTCAATTTCTTGGTGTAAGAACTTTTTCCCAATTTTCATACAAATTTCAAAATTAAAAGATAGATTTAAGTGTAGATTCATGAAAATTAGTCTAAACCGAGTAGGGATTACTTACCCAAATTACCCAGGTGAAAATCTCTTCAAAAATCGCAATCTCCCGAGCTCCAAAGTCCAAAATATGAATTATGGCTCAAACCCTTGATATTGGGTTTTAAAAATCTGCCCAGGGATTCCCTTAATCGCGAACGCGGTCGAACCTTCGCATTCGCAAAGTACAAATTGACGTTGACCATTTTTCCTTTTTCGCGAATGCGTCCCCTTCTTCGCGAACGAGGAGGCTCAGCTCCCAGCCCATCGCGAACGCGGCCCCCTTCTCGCGAACGCGTAGATCAAGAGCCTAGTCCTTTGAGAACGCGGGACCTCCCTCGCGAATGCGAAGGCCAAACCTTCAGCTCCACGTCCTATCCCTTTGCGAATGCGATGGCCAGTCGCGAACGTGAAGAACAACTGGTCTGCAACACACCAGCAGTTTTTCTGCAATTCAAACATCAAGAAATGGTCCGGCTATCCACCCGAAACTCACTCGAGGCCCCCGGGACCTCAACCAAACATACCAACATATCCTATAACCTCATTAAAACTTGTTCCAACCTTCGAAATGCACAAAACAATATCAAAACACCTATTTCTCATCGGATTCAAGCCTAAAATTCCAAAAACTCTAAAAATACGCTTTCGATCAAAAAGTCTATCAAACCTCATCCGAATGACCTGAAATTTTGCACACACGTCACATTCAACATTACGGAGCTATTCCAACTTCCGTAAATCCATTCCGACCCTCGGATCAAAATCTCGCTATCGAACCGGAAACTTCAAAAATTAACTTTCGGCATTTCAAGCCTAAATTAGCTACGGACCTTCAAAACACAATCCAAACACACCCCTAAGCCCAAATCACCCAACGGAGCTAACGGAACCATCGGATTTTCATTCTGATGCCGTCTTCATACTGTTCCGACTATGGTCAACTCTCCAACACTTAAGCTCTCATTTAGGGACTAAGTATCTCAAAACTCTCCAAAACTCAAAACCGAACATCCCGGAAAATCAAATTAGTAGAAATAAACTTGGGGAAAGTAGTTAATATGGGATCGGGGCATAAATTCTTAAGACGACCGGCGGGTCGTCATATTAAAGTAATAACCAGCCAGATTGTTTACTTTTTTTAACGGGTATACATATGTTATACACGTTATAAATTTACCTATATATAAATCATACATATATATTATATATTTTCATGCTATTTTTAATTTAAGATATTAAATGAGCGGTTAAGGTTAATTTTGTTAAAACAATAAAAGAAGAAGAAGAGTATTGCAGAGAAAAGTATAGAGAGAGAGAGAATTTTATTAATTTGGGATGAATTACAATGGAATAGAACCCTCTATTTATAGGTAGAGAGTAACTTAGCCACCAAGTAATAAACCCTAGAATCTCTCTAAATATAGACATTCACCATAAATAAAATTTTATTTATAACACTCCCCCTTGAATGTCTATTCAACAGATAATGTGCCTCGTTAAAACCTTAATTAGAATAAAACCCATTGGGAAAAAAATTCTAGAAAAGAAAAAAGAGTACACATATCTAACAATATGCCTTTTGGTTGTCTCATTAAAAACCTTGCAAGGAAAACCCAGTGGGACAAGACCTTGTAAGGAAAAAAGAGTACAACACGTATTAACTCCCCCTGATGAGAGCATCAATTCACATCTTTGAGCCTTCGCATCCTAATCTTGTACACTAGCTTCTTGAAGATTGACATCGGTAGAGATTTGGTGAACAAATCAGTCATATTATCACTTGAATAAATATGTTGCACCTTGAAATTACCATTCTTGTATATATGTAATATCTTCATATAATGTCGTAGAATAACCTTTTCAATATCTCCTTAGAGGTAAAAATTCCCGCTATCACATTATCATGCTTATAGTTATAGCAAGATACATATGTGCACAAATTACACTTATCATATGGTAATTCAGGACCAAGAATTGTATATGCTTCAATCGATTTAAATCCTTCAAAGATTGTCATATAAGTTAAGTCATATAAGTCATATAATAGACTTTAATTAGATGCATATCAAGTTTTCATGTCATGCTAGACAAATAAGATATCGAAAACTGATTGCACATACCATTAACTTTATACTTTCAAGTGTTTGAACTACATGTCCAAAACTACATGTCTTTCATATGAAACCAATTCTATTTGAATTGTGTTTCTTCTATTTGGCCAATATTTTTGTATCTGTATTCGACCGACTTGAGATCCTCATCTATACTTAGCGCTATGATAGATGTCGTCGACAAACATTTTATATCGGTTCCAACCTCCTTTTTTTCATATAGACATAACATAGAGATCTCTTCATTCATATATTTAGGTACCTGAATCTCTCATGAGATTTTATGAAGTGTTATGTCATGTGATCTTTAGATCACTTGCCTCCTTATTATGATCATTTTGATCATTTGCTCATCTTCTTTGTCAAGAATTTTATTTGAAATCGATTGGTCTAACACTTAAACGTACTATAGACTTTGTCCTTCTAGGACTTATTCTAATAGGAGCATTTGCAGTGAGAATGTAGTTACTTTTTTTAGGTCATCAAATGCGTCTACATACTTTGCAATATATTGTAAATGAATTATCCTTTTATGAACTTCAAGTTCATACTATCTTATTCAAGGATCTAAATGTACAAATGATAATTCATTCCGTGTAACTTTTTCTCAACTTATTTTCTTCAATTTTGAAAATCCATCTTTGTACGTTATGGTATTAATCAAAATATACAGCGCACATCAATAATAATAAGATGGAATTATTTGGTTCCTGGCCCTGAACCACTTGTGAGGGAAGAAAATAATATACTTTCGTATATAACCTATATCAAACTGATATAGATAATTTTATTCTCATAAGCAATAGTTTAGCTATTAAGTGGAGGCATTCAATAAATTATTTTGCTAAACCAACTTATCAAGATGAACTTCTTGAATAGAAAAATCTGAAAAATTATGCTCGAAATTAAATTACTAAGCAAGTTACCTCGCAAACACCGGCCAGGTTGCGGGTTAATAATAATTGCACATCTAACCATCTCATAGATGCATCTTATGTGGTGTACATGGCAGGTGAATGGGCCCATATTCACCTTTGATATTTCCAGCATTCATGGGATTCAATCCCAATTTTAGTTGGTCTATTAATTAATGAAAACAAGCAATATAAGAGAATTCGTAAAGAACTTTCTAGTTCTTTTATATTTACCCATGTGAATTCTCTATTATTTTTGCACATAATACTTAAATTGATATGGCTAAACCAATTATGCCAACTGAATAAATTATCAATATTGATAAACTTCAGATTTACACCATGAAATGTGCAATTATCAATAAACTCCAAGTTTATTATGATATGAGTTTTTATATCAATAAACTTCTATTTTATTGTGATATTCTTTTGTTTGTGTAGTACAAACTGAAAAATAAATCGGGTAGCTTTTCACATACATATTACCCTGCTATAAGTTGTAGTAATAGAAGATATTAAATCTTTCCTTTATTTATAGTCTCAGTATGACCAACCGCTTTTGCGAATACTTTGATAACTCAATTAAGTTTCTTTGAGACTTACTACAACACAATACCTTATTGGTAATCAATTGTGTTTCTCCATAATAGTATAATTGGCTCTTGTAGAGTTCTCAATTAATTTTGTGGTACCATATATTCATCAACATCCATATGGTGAATATTTCTTTTAAAGAGAAAGTTATACCATTATGGTTATGGTCAAAATTATATGCAAGATTTGTTTCTTGCATTACCGTTGTCTTTTAATAATCACATTACCAAATTATTTTGGCGTACAATAGGTATATGACCAGTGATTCATGCCATAATAGTGGCATTATTTTCTTATTTCATCTCAAGCCTCCCTCTAGAGGTGAGTGTGGTATATACACTACCACTAGCACGTTCATATTCTTCCAAGAATGAATATGTATTCATAAATCAGATGTTGTCACATTCACATCATGAATGGACAATAATCATCAATATGTGCTTTACAAAATCTCATGTCAAATTGATGACAAATATTACTTTCACAAAGTGAAGGATTATTTGGAGAATCCTTATTGTTCTCATTACCACAATGATGACGATTATAATTTCGTCTATTGCCACGTCCATACATTGATACACTCATAGTAATAATTTTGTCTTCTTTCAGACTTATCACATACTGCTATCACATTCTCTTAAGGGAATAAGAATAGAGCAAATTCAATGAGACGGATTTTCAATGCTTTGCCAACAATCATACATGAATTTGATCATGACAAGACAGAGAAATTTTACCACTTCAGGTGGTTATAATTTCTTGCGAACTCTATTGGAGTTATAATCAAAGTTTATTATCTTTGCTTGTATTTAAAATCAAATTATAGAATTTCAAGAATTTAAAAGAGAAAATAAAGTAAAAACACTTACGTTAAATCCAGAATTTAATCATGAAGGAAGTTCATGAAACAATTGACAATCATTATGCTCAATCCCAAAATATCACTCAATTGGTTAGAATCTCGTGCTGATAATGTGTTATAAAACAACAAAAGAAGAAAAAGAGTATTGCAGAGAAAAGTAGAGAGAGTGAATTCTTATTGATTTGGGATGAATTACAATGGAATAGACCCTAGAATCTCTCTAACTATAGACATTCACCATAAATAAAATTCTATTTATAACAATTTTTTCTTTTTTTCCTTTTTTAGTTTGAACTTATAAATTCTAGATTACACGGGCCCACCCATACCCGTTTGGGCATATCACCATATATTAAGCGCTGACGAACCGATCCATACAACTCAATTCCCAGAAGCCCGAATAGAATTCAAATTCAGAGAAGAAGTTACCGTTGGCGAAAACACAAAACGAAGCGCAGAGAAATGCCGACGAACAAGTTGAACCACACCGCCGGCAAATCTATGGCGAGATTTAAATCCACAACAAGAAAACCACTGCGAGACGTTTCAAATGCAACTACGGTAAAGCCATTGGGAACTTACTTCAAAACCAAGAAAATCCTCCAGGGAAGGGAAAACGACGTCGTCGAACAGGTGGTGGGCGAAGTTAATGTCATTGTCGACCGTCTCCTTCTCATTCGCTCCGATTTCTCCTCCGTCATTCATCAGGTACTGTTAATAGTTCAAGAAGCATTCTATTATCTTTTTTTTTATTATTTTTATTTTGGTTACTTATGTAGATAGAATTAGAGAACCTCTAGTTTAGAAGAATATTTTGATTTGTCTTTAAAAATACTAATATTTTTAGCGTTAGAATGAAATGGGTTCAAATAGAGTGGAATAGATAGACAGCTTTATACAGCCAATCCAACTAGTTTGGGATTAAAGTGTAGTTGGATTGATTGACTGAATTCTTTATAATTATTTAGACGCTGATCCAGGATTTGAATGTGGGTTGAGTTCGGGATTCTATCTACGCATTTAATTTAGTGGGTTTGGAATCTATTATTTATTTACTGAATCTTTTAACACATATAAGGTTCGAGCCAAAGCTACTAAGTTCATCCAACCACATAAGCAATGAAATGAGATAACTTATAATTTTAGAGAACTGGTGACTTATTCAACTGAAATTAGTTTGAATAGAGAGGGAGGAATTTACATGATTCATATAGTCAGCCGAACTAGGTTTGCATTGAGGTGTAGTTAATTGATTGATTACTTATTAAACCTGAAATTTTTTGTTGCCCAGCCATAGGATAGGAGGTTTATGTTGCTTATTATAAGTAGTGCAAATGCAATTTCACTTGATTATTTCAACTTCTTCAGGTTGTCCTAATTTCCTAGTGAGTGATATATTTTACCAGTCGGTGTTAAACTGTGTTGTCAAAGGCAGCCTTCAAGCTCAGAAAAGCTCAGGGTAGGGGCGATGTGTCACTTAGGCTGCACTTCAATATAGGCAAGGTACTAAGGCATGCGCGTCATTGCCCATAAATTTTATCTTGAATAGGATGGTACTAAAAATTACTAAATATGATTGGCTATAAAAAATGTTAATTGCTAAAGAAAAAATGATGAATGAAGTTGTTACTTTTTCTTGCATGTTTTTAATTGTGCTTTGGCTTAAAGCTCTAGTGGACCTGGAGCGCATTATAAGGCTTTTCGCTTTTGACAACACTGGTGTAGCATTACGTCTCTATTATCATTTTGGGTACATCTCAGTGCAACTGAAAGGTGTTCTTGATCAGTTTCTGCATTGTCAGGGAACTTTCATTCATACAAAACGGAGAAATATTTTAGCTGATGGCAAATTCTAGTTAAAATGTCGACAAGTAGGCAAATTGCACATGCTATCTAGTCGATAAAATCTCTTGCTTTCTTGATAAAGGTAATTAGATTTTGCTGCATTTTCTTTTCTTTTGGTTTGTCTTGGGGAGGGG